ACACACACACACACACACACACACACACACACACACACTCTCTCTCTCTCACTCCACCCCCCACTAGGGACAGTTCAGTTTCCACTCGGCCAGTCAGGACTCACAGCCCTGACCTACTTCATCACTTTTAACCCTCTGCAAACAACATTAATACATGTTATACTATAGCCAATAAGCAAAAAAACACACACACACACACATACACCATCTAATTGCTAAACATTCAAAAAGCTGCCACTTTCCACTGCCGAAGGGGCAGCCTTTTAGCAAGCTGTTAATAAAGGCAGGGACGCATTCAACAAATCATCCAGACTCATCAGCGCCGTCCTGCGATTGGTTACCAGCTGAATAAAAAGGATCACTTTCAGGAGATCTGTTTCTCTAGTCTCTAACATTTAATAAGATAGCAGCCTGGTCGAACCCACTCCAGGCACATGGTATCTATCAGACACGTGGAGGGGGAGCAAGAGGAAGCGATCTGAAAGGCAGAGGAAGGAGCAATAAGAGAGAGCTGATGAACCACTGCTGAGGTCTCAAAGTTGCAAAAACAGCACTTAAAAACATAACACGTGGCAAAAAAAAAACATGTGGCTTACTGTAACACAGAAAATGATTCTGTTACTTCTAAAAATCAAAGAGAATTTCCCATATCATATAATGTCACATTATAACAGCCCTAAATATCTTTTTTTGTCCGGTCACATAATCTTTTAGAACACTTTCAGACATATGGCAACCAACAAAAATGTGTTTAGTTGTTATCTACTATTCATTTTATTTTATAGCATAGGAAGGAAAAATGCAAAGTGGAAAAAGACAAAAAAGACTTGGCGTTAACATTCTCTTTGCTTCATAACCAAGTTTAAGAGAAATAACCTCACTTTTGTAGCAATTCCACAGATTCAGTGAGTTTTGCAGAATACATTATAACATGGATATGGATAATTATTTTAAAGAATGCTTGTGTTTGATTCCAACCTAACAATGGTTGTATTCTTTGAAATGTCCCCACCAAGAAGTGCCCATAAATATTTCTGTTTAAGTGCAGACTTCTCAGGATTCCATGGGCCTCCGGAGATCCCGTCAGCGAGCCTTGGAGTGCAGACTCTTATCCGCCCGAGTGACGGCGGCTTCCAGGTCATGGTGCGACACGAGTCCGAGGGTCCGCAGAGCAGAGAGCAGCTGGGAGCGGGAGTTGCCGATGAAGGAGTGTGACAGGAAAGAGGACAAGCCCCCACCGTTTCTCAGAGTGAAGAGGGGAACTCTCACAAGTCCCATCACCTCAGGGGGAGACGCAATGGAGAACAGACAGCTGAGCATCATTTATAAAACTGGGGCAAAAGTCAACCCAGTGCAACCTTCACCCGGCCCCGACGTCAAGCCCATGGACCCAACGACGCCTGAAGTTCATCAAACACACACCTACCTCGAGTCCATGGTCGCTCGCCACGACCGCCGCCTTCTCCACCTCACGCAGTTCCTCCTCCGTCATCTTCTTAACAAAGAAGTGGCACACGAGATTGGGGGGAGAGGAGGCGAGTTGGGTGGACAGGTGGTCTTCTGGGGACACGCAAAGGGCCACACCCAACTCTTCTCCAATCTCCCGACTCAGACCTGATTCGAGGCTCTCCTGACCGGGATTGACTAGCCTGAGCAGCAGAGAAGGCTTCATGTAAACTCACTGCTGTGTGCTCCGTGAGCGCTGGCTGGAACAGGCCAAACTATGAAGGCTGCACTTATTGCCTGAGGGGAGAAACATGCCCCACATATGCTGGGACATGCAGTATACATTTGATACACCTGAGCCAGACTTGCTACATTTTTTTGTAAAATCTTTAGTACTGGCTTCACCACAGACTGCTGAAGGCAGCAATGAAATCTATATAAAATACTATGATATCCTACAATAAAATGCAATGTATATTGTACTTGCCCCAATATAGATGGTTTAGGAACACCTTAAAGCTGTAGTCCACAACACAAATAATACTATGGCCGGATTTGTGTGGGTGGATGGATGGATGGTTAGATAGATACCATGTGCCAGGAAACATTTAATACGGCCTGAAATGTGTGTACTTGCACTAACGTTTTGACGATCGTACATGTACTTCCAATCGGAATTAAAAGTAAAACCAGTAGACTTACCCTCCAGGAAAGCCTAACAAACCATCAAAACGCATCTGCATCTGTAGGAAGAATCTGCAGTTAAGCGCATTCTTATGTGAGTTCGGTACTAATACCTATAAGGAAACTTCTGGGGGTTAATTGTCACTGGGTTTTTTAAACGGGTTACCGGCATTGAGGATGGAAATTCAGTAATGTATTTATACTCAGACAGGCAGATACGCTACAGCATTCCTGCAAACAATGACTGATAATAATAATAATTATTATTATTATGTCATTGTTTATATATATATATATAGATAGATATAGATAAGCTATAACAAATTCTTGCAGACAATTACTAGACATTAGAAAGAAGTTAAACAGTGTCATAAAATGGAGTAGAAACAAGCTGACGAGGTAAGCTATCGAGTAATGTGCCTTTTGTTTCCGTACCAGGACAATATGCTTTGTCGGAATTTTTCCGAATAGTTTTGCGTCCGTGTCACCGTACAACATTATGTGGCAAGCGTGCTTATACCCCTTTAATGACAGGGCCTGTTCTTTTGTGATTTCTTTGCTTTCCATCTGTGGTTGGCGTTACGAGCTTCCGATTAAAGCGTGATTTATCTCTTTTACAAGTTAACGGTATTACTGAACTATCGATGTATTGAACTGCAGCACCGAGACAAAAATACGGAACACTTCCTATTAAACTTGATCAGTCATGACGAGTGCCGCAGACGTGTAGCTTATCCAATGAAAATCACGTAGTTGGGCGGGGTTTATTGTTCACAACCAATGCGAGGGCAAGCTCTATGACTTTCATGCACGTGTTTATGTCAGACTTTCTCGGACTGGGCACCTTGGTTTATTGACAGGAATGTGTACCAGTGGAGTACGTCGGAGATACCTCCGGTAGGCGGACATTCCTAAAAGGGCTGATTAGCAATAACAGTCTGATATAGGCATGGGGGGTTGTAGGGGCGTAAGGGTATATAAATAACCAAAATAATACGCACGTGACGGAGGCAAAATTGGACACGCCTAACAATCTGGTGTTTTGGAAGCAAAGCATTTATACATATATTCGTCAAAATATTTTGTCTTTTGTTTCTGGAGCATATCATTAATAACCAGATCGTGTATGAAAATAACGACAGTGATTTACTTTGCCCCCGCAGCTCACATAACGCGCTGCAAAACAAATGCTCTCCGTGTCCCTTGTTTCAAGGGTCGGCAGAAGGCTTGCCAAACTCGTTGTCTCCTACCGTTTGTCTCCTACGGTTTTTTTTTAACAATTAACCCACATGTTATATTACATAACATTATTAGTTATTGATAATCATCAGTTACATTGCATAACTAACAAAAATACAAAATCATGCCATTAATTATTTAGAAAAAAAGTTTTATCGATACGCTACATAAGAATCCATTCCGGTGTTGCTGGCGGTTGCCTTTTCGCGTCCTTAGTTGTATAGCATTTGCGGTATAGTGTTTCGGTTGGTTTTGAATAAGAAATTAATTAGATTTCATAAATCAAGTATAATGTAACTTGGTTACATACAATGCAAAGCCATTATGAAAGTGGATAAATGTTTCTATAAATAATAATTTTCACAAAGCACATAGAGTGTGATGAACTGACCTGACTTTGTTACTGTGAATGTCTGATGACTTCGACCAAACTTAATAACAGCTCTGACCTTTAGATTCACTCTGCTTGATAAGTCTCTTTATTTGTAGGCTACAGTACTAGAATGGATGCATCAAACAATTTGGTTTGAAAGGATGCTGTATACATGTTATACATTATTATTACAGTTGTGTTACACTGGAGTTTCGGTTGACATAGGATCGGTTATTTTTGTAGTCATCACTGTTTGCACAGGTACATTTCTATCTTTTAAATTCACAGGTTATTGTTCTGCTGATGTAGATCAAAACAAACTTTATTTTCTATTTACTATATAATAATAGCATGTGGATGGTTTTAAAAACATCTGCAGTGCTTCTAGTAACATTTTAAAAGGGTCACAGTGGGCCCTGGAGCCCATCCCAGGCAGCACAAGGCTGTGACACATCCCAGACAGGGTGCCTGTCCTTTGTAGAGCACATAAACACTTACCATTATACTCTATGAGTGATTTAGGGACATCACTTAGTGTAACTGCATGTCTTTGCACTGCAGGAGGGAACCCACAAAACATCGGAAGAAGACACAAACTCCACACTAACAGAGTGGAGGCAGGACTCAAAACCACAACCCTGGAACTGTGCAGTGTCTCTCATACTGGACCTCGGAGACACCCAAACAGCCCACGTTTCTGCAGATACATGGACCTTCTGGGGGTCCACGTTTCTGCAGATACATGGACCTTCTGGGGGTCCCTGAGGACCAGAAGCTGTGATAATGCTTCCCACTGAACCACTCCCTCCAAAAATAACACATTTATAATTCATAACATAACAGTGAGTGATTTGCCTGTGAATTTATACACACCACTGCTCAGTAATCCGAGAAGAACAGTGGATGTATACACAGCTGTGATGATAACAACACCTGCAAAGCAACCATAATATAAAAAACAGCTACACAAAACAGATTAGTAGGCAGGTAGAGCCGCACAGCTGGTTTTCAGATAATGTTCTGGGTCTGACAGGAATGGGGGAGGAGCCTATATACAGGGGCGTGGCTAGGAATTCTGGGGGGGGGGGGGGGGGGGGGCATAAAGTGTTGGGCCCCCTGAAACAGCCAGGGCATCCATGCTCCCCTGATCCCCCTACCTCCATCTCCCAAATGGGCCAGGCTTCCACGCATGCTAAAGAAACCTTCACGACAGCGTCGCGCTGAACGTGCCACTCCATTGAGACAGGGCTGTGCAAAAAACCAGCACACTCTATTGCGACCAATAGTACACTTCAGCAAGAGGAGGACAATAAACAGTAATAGTACTGGTACTTTTTAGTGGGGCATCAGTTCTTCCAATCTGCTTCCTCTTTCATATAGAATCAAAGGTCATTTGAGTACCAGCATAATGTTGTTGACAGCTCTGAAAGGAATTTCTCTTAAAGTTGCAAAAATCCCAGGATATGGAGAGGTCACTCAATACAATCCAGCACACAAGCAGTGTATAACATTATCTTATGGTTAGCGGTAAATTCCTGTCTATCAGCATCCAGTGCCACCCATATCCAAATTATACTGGTCATTTTGACTTAATGTATGCATGGGTACGTCATGCACAACCAGTGTTGGGGAAGTTGCTGACAAAAGTAATCCATTACAGACAGAGGTGAAGAGTTCAGTTCCAGACCAAGGTTTTGTTTCAACCAACCAGTTGAGTATAAAGAGTCACGGTTGCAGAGTACTTACAGTAACTGGTTGGCGGAAACAAAACCTTGGTCTGGACCTGAACTTTCTGGACCTGAACTCGCCACCTCTCTCTGTCATGGATTAGTATTTTAATTCAATTTAGCTTAGTTTACAATTACACTGAGATTTAAGAAAAACTCATGGCACATAATAATAATAATAATAATAATGTCAACAACAACAACATCTAAATTTTTAAATGAATTATTATTACTCTGCAGTCAGCTTCTGCTGATGTATTTTTGGATTCCAGATTATTAAAATCTTGAGCATTCATCTCCTTCAGTGTTTGATATCCATATATTATCATTTAAACTGGCTCTAGCTAAGTGAACACTGTTCGATTCCTCTGCACTTTCTCCAGTTCACACGCAGCATACATTCACACAGGCTTCCCTGGACATTAGTTATTAATGAGTCTCTAGACGCCAAGTGTATTTTTGCACTCATATTTTCATTTGTACGATCAGTTATAGCCTACCTGTAATATTGTTAGAGTGGCCTTAATTCCAGGAACCTCTTTTTGTCGTTTTGTTTATAAGATGAATTATTCAGCATTCGACTGTGACCATTGTACCATTTTCCTAAAAAGCCCGGCCTGCAGACATTTAACAGGAGCCCCCGGTGATGCTTGATAGCATTGTACTAAAGGCATCTTTCAACAAGGGCCACACAAATTGCAGCAGACAGGGTGGTGATGTCCTCCCGTACCCTGTATAAAAACACATTGAGACTTGTGTTTGTCATTGGGGCTCTCTGCTATAGCCTCTGCCTTATCCCATCTGCTCCTGAACCAAACCTATTCATTTATGACTCAGTATGACAACACACAATACAACAACAGCTCTACTATTGTCCATGATCAATGCAGCCCCCATTCTACAGGGCGCTGAGAGCAGCTGGCCGCGTGGATACAGAGGTGTTCAGGACGTGTTTGTACAGGGAGGCAGGGAAATAGAAAGGCAGCAACGACGGCGTTGGCTTGGTGCTGCTCACTCCCTAAACCAAAACATCCTTTCCTTTGCACATTTCCTATTAGACCGATATCTTGACATTTTCATTTGATTCTGCGTTCGTTTAATGTGTCCTTTTCGATAAGTATTCCAGGAACAGAGCAATGGTGTCAAGGTTTGAACGTCTAACCACCCGCAAATGGCGCATTCAGTGCGACGACAATCTTAAAACCCGACAAAGGAAAAGGAACATATGAATAATATTGCTGCATCACCATTTTAACTTGGCATTAGTAAACAGCATTATATGTAATGATGAGACAGAACAAGTTCTGTCACACCTCTTAAAAACAGAATATAGAATTCATATCTAATGGCTAATTAATTAGCACCCGGCCAGTGGGAATTTCCCAATTAAAGTTCACTCACATAAAAAAGTTAAAAAGGGAAATGAAAAAACTTAACAACAGATAAAGAGAGAGGGTGTAATGCATTCCGCTTATCTACTTTGAAACACATTTATTATATCCAACATTTTCATTTATGTGTGCTTGAAAATGATTAATGAAGTAAAATAGACTATAAGCTGACTGACCATACACCCAGTCGTCCCTCTGTCTGATAACACTCTGGTCAGAGTCGTGGGGGACAGTGGGGGTTGCTGATGGACCTTCCTTTGTTATAAACCTGTCTAGTGCCCCACATGCATGTGGCTGCTGAATAGAATGTACTCTATTTTTTAATGAAGAATAAAAAAATGTAACAAGACCTAATACAGTGCAGTTGGTATATTGATATTTAAGAAATAAATTCTAGCTAAAATGGGTCACAGTTACCACACACATCCAAAACACCCCAATCCCAGATTGTGATTCTAGCAACATGCTATTAACAGAGCTCTATATTAATTCAAGAGCGATACCTTTCCCCAATATTTATACTGTATACCTAAAATGTGAATTAGCATTTCACAGTCCCCTGCAAGGATATCGATGCAAGCTGGAACTATCAAATCATTACAAGTCTTCACCTTGTGCTTTACATTAATCACAAAATGTAAATAACAAAGAAGAAAAAAGAGATCTTATTTCGTGGTGATTATTATGCATCTTTAGCATACCATGTGAGCTAGCTGGTTAGGATTCCTATTTTTTAACCTGGCACCGCAGATGTAAGTCCTGGTATGGGAATGCAGATTGTTGGAAGGGCATATATTTGTTTGAGGGGATACATGCTGTGTTCCATCAATCTATCTTCCGTAACCATTTGCGGAATGCAGGGTCTCTGGAAGCTTGGATCGTATCCCATGATGCACAGGGAAGGCAACACTCTGGTCGGCATGCATGCTAACCCATCACTGGGTGCACATGTGTACACATGCAATCACTCACACACACA